TAATATATATTATTTTTACATAAAAATATAACAAATGTGATTAATAATTTAGTTTAAAATTTGTATTTTCTTGAATTTCTTATCTTCTTTTTAATTATTTTCTCATTATTATTTTTAGTTACATATATCATGCATTAAACCAAAGGAAGAGAAATAGAAACCCAAGGGAGAGAAATAAAAACCTTATATTTATGAAGATGAAGAACAAATTATACGATTACAATGTACAGTAATCATTTGTGTAATATTGAAGACATTAAATGACCCAAATTTACTTTTATCATTTCTAAAGTTATGAGACTTTTTTTATCACATTTCTTTTATGTCAAAAATATTATGTTAATGAATTAAAGGAAGACAGATGTAAGTGAACATGGAAAGCAAAATGTCATGAATATTCAAAATTCAATTATAATTCACTTAAGTAATGAAAAATGTAACTTTAATTGAAATTATTATATTATAGTTGATAATGGAAGATCATGAGTTGTATAATTAATAATGTAACATATAAATGATAAATATTGTATTATTTCAGCATTAATTTCAAATATAATGATAGAGAAAAAAACTGAAACAATTTACTATCAATTTGAATATAATTTATCTCTATATTAATGTATGAGATAATATGCAAAAAAATTCAGGTAAATTTAAAGATTAAAGATGAAAGTGCTATTATTATTATTTAATATTACTATTATTTCCCAACTCAAAGATAAAAGTGCATGCAAGTATGAAAGTCAAAAACTTTGAATGTACAAAAATTCCTAAAAGAAAAATGTAATATCAATTGTAACTATTATATCAGAACTTGTAATTGAAGATCAAAAGGCAATATGATACAATTGATAATTACTGTTTTATTACAACATCAATGATTAATAACATAAAAATGCTAATAGTATATTTGACTTGAGAGGAATGAAGAGCAGGGTAGGGAAGGGAAGGAGAAGATTTTTTTACCAATCAAATTTTAACATTTGTAAATATTGCAATACAGTAGAATAAAGGAAATCTTTACCTCCGCTTTTCTCTCCTTCATTTCTCTTAACACAAACATATTACAAGATTTCAATTAAATAATAAGGATTTTCCAGCTAAAAATGTTTCACTCCTTACGACAAACCACTAAAATTTGAAAAAAAAAAAAAAAAGGATAAAACAGAAAGGATAAGAATTAATGTTATAAAATTAAAAGTCTCAAACTTAATTGGATCAATTGAAAAGTTTTAAAACTTCAATTTACAATATCTTAGAGCCCATTTTTTCAAACTAAACTATATAAAAAGTGCAGTTTTGGGTTGTAAAACTATAAAATTACCTTAAGACAAGATATATTTTGGTGCAAGGCAAATTCAAAAACATGTTTTCTAATAGGACAGCGATACGTACACCCATGAACCGGCACCCATTTTTACACCCAAATTGGTTTAAACAGTAAAATTACAAATTTATCCTTCTCACTAAATCTATTTCCCACGAAACAAATTCCAACAAAACTCAAGCATTCAAGCACATTCAACAACCAAATCCCAGCAAAATTCAAGCATTCAAGCACATTCAACAAC